GCCTCGGCCTTCCCGTGTGGCGCGTGCATGTCACGCGAAGTAGTAAAATGGGGCTTGCGTCATCTAAAGGCAGGCACGAGTCCGCCAAAGGCTCCCGCTTGGACTTTTCGACTTTGTCTCAGTCAGAAGACAAGAAAAACAAACAAGCGGCCGGCGGCGACGCGAACGTGCGGGGACAGGCCCTGGCGTGATTGACGGGTCGTCGGAGGAGGCGGGAGCCACGCCCGTCAGCTCAGCAAGTGCCGACAAGACAGTGGCAGCTGCGCAGGCCGTGGAATGCCGGGTCGGCGCCTCGCCGCTCCCACAGGTGTCCATCAAATCCCGGTCCAGACAGCGCAAAGCCCGCCACCCTTTGGTTTTAGCCTCCGATGCTTTCGCTCAAGCGGCACGTGAACGAGCTCGGCGAGTTGTCGCATTGGTGGTGAAAGCCAAAGCGCGGCAGACATTCTGGACCTGGATTTGATGCCTGTGTTCAGTCGGAGCCTCGCTATCCACATTGAGTTACGAGTAGGCCGAGATGGGAGTTTTTGCGTTCGCAGCCCTTTTTTACTCTGTGAGACGTGACAAAACCAAAGCCGGTGGTTTTCGATTGCAGAAAATTCATTTGCTTGTCCCAGTACGGCGAGGTGCCGGCTCGGCCACGGCCCAAATCAAACTCGGAAGTCAAGGCGGACACGGACACATTGACGTTTCAACTTCCTGCCGTGATGTCACACCTTCGCGCGTCGTCACCTCCGGTCCGCCTTACCTTCAGTGATGGCGTTGACGTGCGGGGGGCCGCCGTCTTGCGGACTTTGGGACTGAAGCCTTTCTTGTCCCGATCTCTCCGCTGAACTCCAACAAAAACAAAAAAGCCGTCAGCGTCCACTCTGGGTGACGTCACTTGGCGCCTCACCTTGGTGTCTGGCCAGCAGCGGTTTGCTCCTTAGCGCCCCCCGCAGGGCAAACACCTTGAAGGCGTAGTCTCTGCTGGCGTCGAAGGTGTCGATCAGCAGCTCGGCATCCTCTTTAGCCACGCTCACCTCCGTCTCCTCACCGCCTGTTTGCACGTGCACGGTCGTCAGATTCACGTGTACGCTGCCGTGTGTGCGTATGCGCTTGCGGCCGCGTTACCGGGGCGCGTGCTGTAGGCCAGCACGTATCCGTCGAGCGGACCTTTGGGCTCCTTCCAGGACACTAAAAGCCGGGTGGGACTGAGAACTTTGCTCCGGAACCTTCTCGGAGAAGACACTGACCGCCGGAGATCCGCCGTGACCGGCAGCAGACGTGATGAGCGCGGGATGACAAACACACGCAGGGCAATGAACAAGCGAAGATATTTTTGCACGACCAATTAAAGACCAAAATGAGGCTTTTCATCCAATTAGGAACAAAGCCAATTGTGCAGATGAACGATCCCGTCCATATTTTAGGCAGCGACAATGACGAATGCAGAAAAATGGGCTGCAGCAAAGGCAAACAAACGTGCGCCTGTGCCTGCATCCCGCGGCGATCAACGCGCTCAATGTGAACGCGCGATGACGTCGACATCAATCCGAGCCTGTCGGACAGAGTGTGTGGCCGGGCCCCCAACTGACCTTGTCCCTGTACACGCGCGGCGTGGACGCGGATCAAGAGCAGGAAACCCACGGTGAGCATCCAGTGGGGTGACGTCATGGCGGAGCGGCACTCGACTTCGGGGAGAAAAGGATCCAAACACAAAAGTTGGCGGCGAACTACTCCTCTGCGCGAACGCCGCGTCGGTCGGACAGACACAGCAGGATGACGGCGCGTGCACGCGCGCGCGCTAAGCTTCCGCTCCGCACAACCCCAACAAACGCCCGACCCGCTCCGCGCGTCCCGCTCCTCTGAACCTGAATCCGACGCGCCCGCGGCACCGCGCACCGCCGGAAGTGCTTTCAAAATACCGCCGTGACGTAATCTCGTCATTTCGCTTCTGCGGGACGCGTGACGTCTGCCCTCCGCAACTTTCCCACTTTTCATTGCGCTACTTTTCATCCTTTAATTTTACCCTGTGAGATGATGAACTTTCTGTTGGTGAACTCAACTGTGACTTTCTTTGCCGAAATCCGCTTGGTCACGTAAAGGTGAAGGCTCGCTGAGCTGGAGCTTCCTTCTCTGCCTTTGCCATTGGCTTGTTTCCCCGGACTAGTCCTTTCTGTTCCGTTTTCTTCGATTAAAGCCGAATAAATGAAGCGACCGACGTGTTTGACTTGAGCGGGCACGCCGGCGCCGCTTCCTGCGCGCGGCCGTTCGGCTTCACGCGCGCTTTTCTTTTCCCTCGCCGTCGGAGCTCTCGCTCGCGCGCGCATCGAACGAGTGCGCGGCAGGCAAAATCAAATCAACAACCGAGTTGACATTTCGCTTGGACCCGTCCGACACTTGGGGCGGGCCGGTCCATCGTTTCCGTGGAGTCCGTCGGTTGCGAATGGATTCACTATTCGGACGGACGTTGACGTTTTTGAAGCGCGGTGGCGTGTCCGCTTCCCGAATCGACCGCTAAGCCACGACCCAATTAATCGACAGCTACTTTGATCACGGATGAATCTCGGAGACAACCTCAAAGCGTCCAAATGCACAGAATGTCAGCCTGTCCGCAGCGCCTAGTGCGGCTCTATAGATTTGCGTTAATTATTCGCACTTTACATGCACGGGGATAAGCGCGACTCATGGCGCGGCGTTTGTTTTATTTTCTAGTTCTTCCGGCGTAAGAGGTTACTGTTCGAGTCAAAAGGAATTCAAAGGAAACGCCAGACTCTGCCAGTCAAGCTTCATGATTTCAAGCGAAAAGTAAGCAAAGCCAGCCGGCAATTTGACTACTTGACACACGCACGCGCGCTTGTCAATCACTCACCAGACAAACGAAAACAGACGCGAGGTCCCGGGTAACCTTTGATGGATTTGGGGAGTGGGCGAGAGTGCCCTCATCGCGGCGACTTTCCGTCGAGCGCCATCCAACCTTTCCATTTCTCCGTCCGGCACCCTGCTCGCGCCTCCTGTCGACGAACAACATGGAGACGTGCCCTTGAACGTGCACTACTTCTGTTGGCCGAAAGGGTGCAGCAGAGTACAGGCGCGACCACTCCTCGGCTTCTGCTTCGGGGACCTTCCCAAAGAAAGCGCGAGACGTCAACATGCTGGCGAGAAAGACAAGGAAGAGAAGATTGAGATGAGCATTTTTTTTTGCCATCTTCCCGATTAAATATCCTAAGTGAGTAAAAAAAAAAAAACAGTTTGATTTTCATTAATATTGGTTAGCAATGCGAAGATTGCAACAGCATTTACGTGCGCGCGCAGAAGGGGTGTTTAGGCACAGTGGGGCAAATATTAACTGTCCAAAGTACATGAAAAGAACGCCAAACACAGTTTGTGTTTGTATGCAACGAACACAAGCTGAAGTCACGCAACACAAGCCGAGTTGGAGCCACAAAGGCGCACGCACGCACACTATGACTTTTTGTGCGAGTCAGCGCAGCAATGAGGAAGACGGCTCCATGTGCACAAGGAAGCAGGGAGGCAAGGCAGGGTGAAGAATCGAGTTCCAAAAACAAGGCACTGGAGATTAAAAAAAAAAAGTCCCCACATAGTCACAATTCGAAGACAGACAGGGACACAACAACGAGGCAAAACTAGAAACGTGACTTTCAAGCACGATGACCTGACAAAAGCAACAACTTGAAAGCAAGCCGTTGTTTTTGTCCACTTGACTCAAAATCCAATTGCAGAGCGGGATCCACAAACAGGAGGCCAGCATATGCTGTCAGAGGGGAGCTCCGCTCGCTAAACTGTTCAACGGTGCTACAAACGGGCCAACTCGGTACATTGGCAGCGACGAGGCTGCGATTCCCGAGGCCGTCGGAACATTTGTGCGAGCTGCGGTTTGCACGTTAGCGGCTAAATGTGGACGATGATGGCCGACCCGGCGCCATCCTGGCGCCGCCGGCGCTATACTAATTGCTCCTACAGGCTTGCTAAAAGTGCCAATGGGGATGGGGTGGAGGGGGGGGGTAGCCCAGGTGCAGTGGACAAAACCATAGGGTGACGAATGCCGGTGAGGGCCCAGGAGGGGTCAAAACGGGGCCAGGGGCACCCAGGGGCAGCCAAGGGCAGCGCTGACGAGGGCTGGCGTCGTGCTGCCGAGGGTCGGTGAGGCCTCAACGTGGGCGGCGGTGAAGGGGAACAACGGGTGCCGAGGGCCAATGAGGAAAAGTGACAAGAAGGGGAAGAGGGAGGCACTGGGATAAAGATCGGGATGCATGGGGGCTGCCTTGCGGTGTGGTGGGG